TCTTTATTTGCTACCACACCCCTCCTGCATGGTGGTGGGTCTGAGGGCAGGAGCAAAGGTATTAGGAGGGAGAAGGCTTGAAGTGTCAGAATTCTCAGAAGGTAACTGATTTACCTGGCAGCAGAGTGGGAGTGCTTGCTATCAATGCTTGTATAAAGTAAAACCCACTGTCCGGCTGGGGGGGGGGGGCTTCCCCCAGTTCTATTTTTATTTTACTTTACTTTTATTTATTTTTGGCTGCATTGGGTCTTCGTTGATGCACGCGGGCTTTTCTCTAGTTGCAGCGAGTGGGGGCTACTCTTCATTGTGGTGCGCCGGCTTATTGCTGTGCCTTCTCTTGTTGTGGAGCACAGGCTCTAGGTGCATGGGCTTCAGTAGTTGCGGCACGCGGGCTCAGTAGTTGTGGCTCGCGGGCTCTAGAGCACGGGCTCCGTAGTTGTGGTGCACGGGCTTAGTTGCTCTGTGGCATGTGGGATCTTCCTGGACCAGGGCTCGAACCCGTGTCCCCTGCATTGGCAGGAGGATGCTTAGCCACTGCGACACCACGGAAGCCCCATTCCCCCAGTTTTAATATGCACAGTGTAGGCATGTAAAAGGCATGGTTCTGACCAGGATTCTGCTTTATGTGTCAGGAGAGAACAACCCTTTTCCGTGCTGATCCGTTCCTTCCAGGGATCTTCCCACTGGACTCTTCTTTGGTCCACACCTTCACCTTGGTTGTGGTTTAGTGGGGCTCTTTCCCCCTTCCTCTTTGCTCACTCAGCAGATCATCCCTAGCGTCATCAATTCCCAAGACTTTAGCAACGACCTCTATGCTGATCATTCTCAAATTTATCCACTTTGAATCTCTTAAACTCTAGATCCCTGATTTTGTGTGGTTCTAATTAATGCAGCCAGACTTTTTTTTTTAAGGGACATGTTCTTCTCTAGGTTAGAATGCATTATATAAAGCTTGTGGTGGTAAAAATAAATAGTGTTGCACGTGTGAGGAAAAAAAGATATGTCACAAGCAGTCAAATGAAAATAAGTTGGACTTCATAAAAATTAAAAACATGTGCTTCAAAGGACGCAATTCAGTAATCATTTTTAAAAAAACCAATTGAAAATGGCAAAGGGCAGTTCTCCAGAGAAGATACACAAAGGCCAGTAAACACATGAAGAGATGTTCAACATCATTAGCCATCAAGGAAATGCAAGTCAAAACCACTGGTTACCATTTCACACCCAGTAGGATGGCTATAATCAAAAAGACTGAGAATGTCACATGTTGGTGCACATGCAGAGATATCGGAACCCTCATACATTGCTGATGGGAATATAAAATGGTACACCCACTTTGGAAACAGTCTAGCTGTTCTCAAAAGGTTAAACATAGAGTTACCATATGATCCAACATTTGCACTCCTAGGTGTATACCCAGGAAATGAAAACATGTCCACAAGTGTTCATAGCAGCGATGTTCATAACAGCCAAAAAGTGAACACAACCCAAATGTCTATCAGTTGATGAATGGATATACAAAATGTGGTATTTGCAAACATGAAATGTTATTCAACAATAAAAAGAAATGAAGTGCAGAACAGGCAGATCTGTAGAGACAGAAAGTAGATTAGTGTTTGCCTGGGGCTGGAAGGGACGGAGACGTACATGTATTTAAAGCATACAATGCAGTGGTTTTTAGTATATTCAGGGTTACGCAGACATCACCACAGTCAATTTTAGAACATTTTCACTGCCTGGCCAAAAAGCCCGATTCTCATTAACAGTCACTCCCCTTCCTCCCTCAACCGCCCCCCCCCCAACAGCTTTCTATGGACTTGCCTATTCTGGATACTTCATATAAATGGAATCATACAATATGAGGTTTGTTTTTTCTGGCTTCTTTCACTTAGCATAATGTTTTCAAGGTTCATCCATGTGTAGCATGTGTCAGTACTTCATTCCTTTTTAGTGTAATAATATAGTCTATTGTATGGATAATACCACACTTTACCCATTCATATAGTTTCTCCACATCCTCACCAACACTTGTTATTATGTCTCATTCTCATTATAGCCATCCTAGTGAGTGTGAAATGGTATCTCCTGTGGTTTTGATTTGCATTTCCTTGATGGCTAATGATATCAAGCATCTTTTCATGTGCTTGTTGGCCATTTGTATATCTTCTTTGGAGAACTGTCTGTTCAGATCATTTTTATATATGGTCTGAGGTAGGGCCCCAAATTCACTCTTTTACATGTGGACATCCAGTTGTCCTTGCACCATTTATCAAAAAAGACTATTCTTTCCCCATTAAGTTGTCTTGGCAACCTTGTGGAAAATCAGTTGACCATGGATATAAGGGTTTATTTATGGTCTCTTGATTCTGTTCCATTCATCTTTATGTCTACCCTTATGCCAGTACCACACCATCTTGATTACTATAGCTTTATAGTACGTTTTGTAATTGGCAAAACTTTTTCTAGATTATTTTGGCTATTCTGGATCCCTTGAATTTTTATATTAATTTTAGGATGAGCTTGTTAATTTCTGCAAAGAAACCACCTGGGATTTTGATAGGGCTTTCGTTGAAACTGTAGATCGATTTGGGGAGTAGTGCTATTTTAACAATAATAAGTCTGCTGATCCATGAACATGGGATGTCTATTTATGTAGATCTTCTTAATTTTTTTAAACAATGTTTTGTAGTTTTCAGTATAAGAATTGTATACTTCTCTTATTAAACTTATTCCTAAGTATTTTATTCTTTTGGATGCTATTGTAAATTGAATTGTTTTCTTAGTTTCATTTTTGGGTTGTTCATTGCAACTGTATAGAAATGCAGTTGATTTTTGCCTGTTGATCTTCTGTCCTTTAACCTTCTCTGTTAGTTCTAAGAGTTGTTTAGTGGGTTTCTCAGGATTTTGTATATACAAGGTCATGTCATCTGCAGATGAAGAGAGTTTTACTTCTTTCTTTCCAATCTTGATTCTTTTATTTCATTTTATTGCCCTAGTTTGAACCTCTAGAGCAATGTTGACTTGTTGCTGATCTTAGGGAGGAAAGCTTTCAGTCTTTCACCAATAAGTATGATGTTATCTGTGGGTTTTCGTAGATGCCCTTGACCAGGTTGAGGAAACTCCCCTCTATTCCTGGTTTGTGTATTACTCTTTTAATAAGCAAAAGCAGAGATTTTTAAGAAGATATGCATATTTAAATACATAGAGTTCACAGTTCATTACCGGGGGGTGGGGGACATGCAGTGTGAATCTGATCTTTGTGGATATGGAGATGTACTAATTGAATGACCTTTATAAGAAGGTAGGGTATAAAGTAAAAATTTCAGCATCCTAAAAAAAAGTTCTTTTTTTCCAGTCTACTTTTATCTTTAGGCATATGTCCAGTTTTACCTAGTTACAGTAGCTTACTTTAAAAAAACTTTTATTGAAGTATAGTTGATTTACAATGTTGTGTTAATTACTGCTGTACAGCAAAGTGATTTAGTTATATGTATATATACATTCTGTTTTCATATTCTTTTCTGTTATGGTTTATCATAGGATATTGAATATAGTTCCCTGTGCTATACAGCAAGACCTTGTTGTTTATCCATCCTGTATATAAAAGCTTACATCTGCTAACACCAACCTCCCACTCCATCCCTCCCCCAACTCCCTCCCCCTTGGCAACCACCCTCTATGTCCATGAGTCTGTTTCTGTTTCATAGATAGGTTCCCTTGGCAACCACCAGTCTGTTCTCTATGTCCATGAGTCTGTTTCTGTTTCATAAATAGGTTCCCTTGGCAACCACCAGTCTGTTCTCTAGGTCCATGAGTCTGTTTCTGTTTCATAGATAGGTTCATTTGTGTCATATTTTAAATTCCACATATAAGTGATATCATATATTTGTCTTTCTCTTTCTGACTTACTTCACTTAGTAGGATAATCTCCAGTTGCATCCATGTTGCTGCAAATGGTATTATTTCGTTCTTTTTTATGGCTGAGTGGTATTCCATTGTGTGTATGTACCACATCTTGTTTATCCATTCATCTGTCAGTGGACATTTAGGTTGTTTCCATGTGTTGGCTATACAATAGCTTACTTTTAAAATTACCTTTTATTGTCTCTTATTCTTTTTCTAATTACCTACTGTTGCATTTTATTTTCATCACAATACATTCATCTTACCTTAAGTCAGATATTTTTAGTAGTTAATTTCTCTTCCCTCTACAGTAAAAAAATGTAACAATGCTTTATAACTTAGAAAGTGTCTTCATATAAAATCTTATTTGAATCCTCATTTTACACATTAAAGAAAAAGAGGAAACCAGAATGCTTGAAACATTTGTCAGGATAGTAGCAGCAGAGCTGGGGCTAGGACATACTGCCTTTGAAGATACTTAACAAGTACTCCTGACTTGGTTGAACATATCGAATAGGAGCATCATTGGATTAGGGAGGAAATCCAAGACACCTCGCCGCTGTATCAGTTTCCTAGGGCTGCCATGACAAACGACCATAAACTGGGTGACTTAAAAGAAATGTATTCTCACAGTTCTGAAGGCTAGAATTCCAAAATCAAGGGGTTGTATTAGTTCCAGAATCAAGGGTGGGTTCCTTCTTGGGTGACCAGAAGGAGAGTATGTTCCGTGCCTCTCTCCCAGCTTCTGGTGGTTGCCAGCGATCCTTGATATTCCGTGGCTTGCAGCTGCATGACTGCACTCTCTCTCTGCGTCTGTCACATGGCTGTCTTCCCTCTGTGTGTGTCTGTCTCTCCACCTGGCATTCTCTGTATGTGTGTCTCTGTTTCTTCTCTTATGAGGGCACCAGTCATGTTGGATTAAGGCCCACCCGACTCCAGGGTGACTTCATCTTAACATATATCTTAATTACATCTGCAAAGACCCTGTTTCTAAGTAAGAGGTACCAGAGGTTAGAACTTCAGCATATCTTTCAGGAGAATGGTTTAACCCACAACAGCCACTAACAAGGCTCTCTTCTGCTCCCCCTCCACCCCAGGCGCCCCCGTATACCACACCATGGCCCTCGTGTCTGCTGATTCCCGCATTGCAGAACTGCTCACAGAGCTCCATCAGCTGATCAAGCAAACCCAGGTAAAAATCCACAGCCCTCCACTCCTAGAGGGGAACGTGGGCTGTGATACTGAGCTGTGGAGGGGGCGGGGGTGGTTGTGTTCAAAGAGATTGGACATGCAGGAACCACGGTGATGTAATGAAGGTGGGAGGAGAAGGAGAATGTAGGGTATGACTTCCATTCCTGTTGGATTTTCTGTCATGTGCAGGATTTCATGATTCGTTTTGTTTAGTAACAGCTATATTGAGAGGTATAATTCACATACCATACAATTCGCCCATTTAAGGTGTACAGTCCAATTTGAATCCATATTCAGAGTTGTGCAACCATCACCATGATCGATTTCAGAACATTTTCATCACCTGACAAAAATGCCCTGTACCCAATTGCAGTCATTCTCCTTGTGCCTCCACCTCAGGTAAACAGAGACACTCTTATCAGGCAAGATATTCCAAGCGTGTTTAGAGGTTATCTACTAAGAGCTGGTCAAGGGCCAGCCCTTTTTTGGAATGTGTAGTGTTTGAACACCCAGGCCTGCTGAATTGATCTTTAACTGCACCTGCCACCCCCCTGGCCCTTGGCCTAGGCTCTGTTACAGCAAAACAGTCATTTGAGCATTTACCTTTAGTATAGCATTTATATAACAGATACAGCAATAGTATCAGGATAAATATGCCTAACATTGGCAGGAATCCTTATAGGGTAGGGATAGACTTAAAGAAACAACTAATCTGTCCTATAGAGCCATTACATACACTTTCATATTTTTGTACTAATTTGATTACCTGTTTTCCTCCTTCATCTACCACTATCTGTACCTTATGATAAATTTGTGTGAAACTGTTTAGCATAGAAATTAGCTGATGGTGAGTTAAATCCAGTTCTTCCTCAGGTCAGTCATTTTCCATCAGCATTACATTCTCGGAAGACTTTGACTCAATCTCCCAATACATTTGGTCATCAATATCAGTATTACCCTATGACTGACTTACATAAGGTAGTTGAATCTTACCAACAGTGCCAGTGTGTTACACCATATTGAAGTATGGTCATGGTAAAATTCAGTTTCATTATGGAACAAATCAATAAGAATTACAGAGCTATTTGTTAGGCCTTTGCAACAGAATTGGCCCTGCCCATTTACCAGATTTTATTACGGAAAGGCTTTATTACAGTTGGCCATGATTCAGTTATTTCTGGGTTCGAAGTCGGCTGGGGATAAAGCCAGTCACTCTGTCTCAGCTCAGGCTCGTCTTGAGACTGGTTTCCATTGCACACTGTTGTATAACAGAGTCCACCTCCCTCCTGTGGGGAGGACACAGGTGGCGTTCAGAGTACAAGCCCTACCTCTGCTAACTGGACTTCAGGATATGTCTTATTTTGATCTATTCTTGGGTCAAGGGTAGTCATGGTGCATTGATGTAAATTGCACATGCCCCTTGAGGGCTTCCATAGGTTTAGAGGTCCACAAAATTCCCATAAGTGTGCCCCTTGGGGCTCAGCAGCTAGGATGGAGGGCCGCTGCTCGTGGCTACTTATTAAAGTATTATCCGTTTTAAAATAGTCAAGAAACCCTGGTGGGTCAAGGTGCAAGCCCTTTCCCAGCAACAGGTGGGTCCTAGAACTATCCACGTTACCTGTTGGGTTGGCCTGAACCACTTCACTAAAGCCTCATCATCTTTCCAGACTGACTCCCATCCCTGGCTTTCCTCCTACGAGAGAACTCACTTCTGTTTGTTTATTCTAATCAACGGTCTTTTCCCTCTGATTGCTGCTTCTCATTGAAAATGAGTTCAGCTTGCCCCACAATGAACACAACAGTACCTATGTCCCCCAAAGCCTTTTTCTGTCTATGGGCCAATGTTGCTTACTCCACTATGCATTTTGTTGCCATTGTGTACTAATGGCCTGGGTACTGCAGTTAGGATACATATTTTGTACCCAAGAATGTTGGGTGCCCCATACTAGGGTTAGATGAGTGGTAGTCGCACCTAGATGTAATTTAGCCTAAGTATATCATATGGCCTCGTAGGCCTCTCAAAACCTTCCTCGTCTAGGGGAGCAGGGGATGGGGCTGCTCCCCAGGGGAATTTGGACCCACCATGTGCCTACTGCTCTAATCTTGTCAGAAACCCACTTTTTCCCTGTTGTCTTTACTTGCTTTTCATTCACAAAGACAAGGGTGATATGTATTTGTGCAAGCATGCTGTGGCATATCGTGTCCGTTATAACCAGGGGCCTTTCTAAGCATCCCATCATCCAGGCTTGTAGTGACACGATGATCAGTCTGCTGGGAGCCGCCATACGACCCCATGGGAGCAGTTTCCAGAGATTCCTTTCCAAATGGTATCCTTTGTAGTGGAATGTGACCTGAAAAATAAGTCAGAAGATTCTGGCACACATATTGCTAAGTGAAAACCCAGTCTGAAAGGTTTTCTATACTGTATGATTCCAACTATATGACAATATGGAAAAGGCAAATCTATAGAGAGAATAAAAAGATCAGTGATTGCGCAGGGCTTGGAGGGAGGGATGAATGGGGGAGCACAGGGGGTTTTTAAGGGAGGTGAAACTATTCTGTATGATACCAAAATGGTGGATACGTTACATTTTGCATTTGTCAAAACCCATAGAATGTTAAACACAAAAAGTGAATCTTAATGTAATCTATGGACTTTAGTTAATAATAATTATCAATATTGGTTCAGTAATTGTAACAAATGTTCCACACTAATGCAAGATGTTAATAATAGGTGAAGCTGTGCAGGGGAAAGCAGGTGTACGGGAACTCTGTCTTCTACCTGCGTGATTTTTCTGTAAACCTAAAACTGCTCTAAAAATAGTTTATTAATAAAATTTTGAAGATAAAGAAAAAAAGATACTGGCACATTACTAGAACTCCAGTCAGTCATCAACAGTTTGTCTAGTTTATCATCATATTATATAACCAAAATGTCTCTCAGAGGGTTTTCAGGCTTCCATTTGACTTTGTTGGGGTCTAAAAGCAGAGGTGGTCTTGGCAGACACACGGCGTCACCTTCAGGGCATCTGGTATGACTGAGTTAAGAGTCAATGTTATTCTCTTGCTCTGAGCCTCTCTCAGGTATTAATGTAATACTGAATTTCCATCATTGCATAACCCATTTATTCATTCTTTTACCCTCAGCTACTCTTTCTCCTTCTCTGCATTTGTCATTGATTTTTACCCAGATTTTTCTACTCTGAAGGACGTTAGGCTCAGCCACCGTGCTGGTCCTGATTGCCAGCAACAACACACTAGTCTAGCAAGTGCCTCACCTTCCTCCGACTCTCCCCCTATCCCCACCCCGGCCCCCGTCCATTCCCATTCATGTAAGGTAGGGTTACTTAGGTACGGAACTAGTGGGCTGTTTTCACCACTAGGCATTATAGCTGCGTTCACTGTTAACTCCATTTTGCCAGATGGGGTGAAAGTACCTACCCACTCAGGCACTTAGAAATTCTGACATAAAGGTTAAAAGGTATAGTTATAGCTTCTTCCTTAGGAATCATCCCTGCTTCCGGCATCTTCATTTGCAGCCCTGGTCCCAGGACCACTGATGTGGGGAAGGATTGTATCAGCGTCCTTACCTGCCCCGCTTTCCCAGATGAATTGATCATAGATACACGTGTTAGTTTCTAGACTCTCGGCTCTGTTCCATTGACCTATATGGCAGCATCACACCATTTGACTACTGCAGCTTTGTAGGAAATTTTGAAATTGGGAAACGTGACTCCTCCAATGTTTTTTTTTGTTGTTGTTTGTTTAAGATTGTTTTGACTGCTCTGGGTCACTTGAATTTCCATATAAACTTGAGGATCAGCTTGTCAATTTCTGCAGGGAAGTCAGCTGGAATTTTGATGGGGATTGCATTGAATCTGTGGGTCAGTTTGTCTTTTTGATAAAGTAGAGTCATTAAATGTATAACTTGTAAGTTAACTTTGATGCCTTTTGTATTGCTTTTGCATTAGTCAGGGGGGAAAATGCTTTTAAACTTACGGATTTGGAAGTTGGATTTACAAAATGAGGGTCATATTTATGGGGCCTCTGGCCTGGGCTGCAGGGTAGTTGCCACAGCAGGATAAAGGGCCTCCCCTCATGTCCTGTTGACCTCGTCCTTGCAGGAAGAGCGTTCGAGGAGCGAACACAACTTAGTGAACATCCAAAAGACCCACGAGCGGATGCAGACAGAGAACAAGAGTGAGTAGCTGGGCTCGGGAGAGAAAGGAGTGGGCCAAGACTGGGAACGTGGCGGTCATCATTTTCGAAAGGGACTTTTGCATGTATCTGCCTAATCCAAAATGAACTGCTTGCTCCCTATCCCTGAGGGACAGTTTTCCCTTAGGCTGGGTGACCTAAGATGACCCAGGAGACAGATGACAGACTGTCTAGCCACTAAGGAACCTTAAAATCCCCCAACTCTGAGGACTGGGAAGTCGGGAAATGACGCTGCGTCTCGGGAACCCCCTTACAGCGCACAGGACCCCCCAGTTAGCCGGCATTTTCTAGAGCTTCCCTACTCGTGTGCCCTGCACATGCCCTGAGGTCAGGCTCCCGGGCTGGTGCTTTCCAACTCTGAGGAGCTTGGAGAATTGTTTTCTGTTTGCGTGGGTCACACTCTGGCAGAGGTTAGAGAGTCCTCTCCTAGGTGTTGTGATGGCATCTGTACCATATGAAAATGTGAACATGGAGGTATCGGCCTCGTGGGGCACTTCTGAGCCAGTAAAGTTCATCATACCTCAGCCCATGGCCCCTCGGTGCCTCCCAGAGTCTGATTCCGGCGGACTGGAAGCAGTGCCACATTGCTGCCAGCTGCCCCTCACCCATGCATCTTTCTCCCTTTGTTTATTCTGCAGTCTCTCCCTATTACCGGACAAAGCTGCGTGGCCTCTATACAACCGCCAAGGCCGATGCAGAGGCTGAGTGCAAGTGAGTACCGTCCCACTGCCCTGCCGTCGCCTCCCCTCCACATCCAGGTGCTGGGCTGTAGGAGCCTGTGGACCATAGCCCCAGCCTGCCTCTCCTCCCATGGATAAGCAGATTCTGACTCCCCAGCTTCTCCTTTAGGGCCCACTTTCCCTAGAGCCCACTCTGGCCTCTCTTCCCTGGCCCTGCTGTTTTATAGATGGCAGAAAGGTGTGGATCAAATCCCAGTGATGCCTTTTTCTAGTCACTTGACCTTGGGCAGTCATTTCAGCTGAGACTCAGTTGCTCCATCATTAAAATAGAGATAATAACTACCTGTAGAATTGTCAACGTAAAATGCGATAATGCACGTAAAGTGCCTAATACCAGTATTTTTCAAACTCTTTTGACCATAACCCATGGTTATGCCTGGTGTTGGGCAGTCTCCATAGAGAGACACAAGGATAGTGAGATCCTGTCTTCAAGGGCAAGCAGTCCAGAAAGGAGAGACACCCTAAAAACGTTACAGGACAGTGTAGTTGGTGGCCCAGCCGAGATGGTGTTCACTGTGCCTGGGGATCTGAGACCCTCTCAGGGAGGAGGAGAAACTTGAGCTGGGCATGGGTAGGCAGACAAGTCAGAGCGCCCAAGTGGAGGACAGAGTGTGCCAGGACTATGGAGGAGCGCATTTGGGGAATGAGAACTAGTCCTTGCATGGCTGGGGGAGGGGAGGGCAGGATGTGGAAGACCTCCAATACCTGGACGTTATCGTGGAGGCCATAGCGAGCCAAAGGCGATGTAAGAGCAGGAGAGAAACCCCTGGCTGCCGCACGGAGAGCAGACTGGGTGAGATTCAAGGCTAGTTTGGAGACCAGGCAAAAGATAAGTGACGGAGTTGAGCTGAGACAATGGCAGTGGGGATAGAGAAACAAGGGTGGATTCTGAGATCAAACTGGAGGACGAGTTGGGAGAGAAGATTTCCAAGGTTTTTAGCTTGAACAAAGGGGTCTGATGGTGCTCCCTTTGCCAGGGTGGGAAGAGAACAAAAGGGTGGGGCCGACTGGCGGGGAGGGGACACGGCGAATTCTGGTTGGAGATGTTGCTTGCTTGGCTTTCCAGCCGAGCCTTCCCCACCCCCATCTTCTCCCTGATTTGCAAATTCATCGGGTAGCCATAGTTGGGCCCTTTCCCATTAGTGGGCCTGGAGTTTGGCTTGTATAAGTCAGAGTGACTCAACGCTCATTTGAAAGTAAAAGGCAGACTTTCCCTTCCCGGCTTAACTGCCGGCAGAGGGAGGCAGCTGCTTCTGCAACCAGCTGGTGTGAGCTCTTCTCTGGCATTGACTTAACCAGAGTTTAACACTTAAAGCTTGTTTCATAAGTGCAGGTCCCTTGCAGTTCTGCTGTCATTTCACTTTTTCAGACTCTCAGACCTTCACACGTTCATTCACTAAACAATGAATAAGGTGTCCTGACCTCCAGATACCATGCTGGGAACAGGAGAGTGGGTGAGACAGATAAGATGCCACCCCTGCCCACAGGGAGCTCCGCATCTGGGTGGGGAAAACATGGTACTGTGTGTGCCTGTGGCACTGACCCAGGTGCTGCAGCACCTATCAGCTCATCTTCTAAATATTTGCATTAAACCTCTTGGGAAAATGAAGAGGCGCCAAGAGCCTGCTTCATGAGCTAGCCCAAGCCTGTGATGCTTTGCTGTTCCTTCTATCCAGTCCTGGCTGCTTTTCCTCCTCCTGCTTTTGCAGAAAACAGAAAGGAACCCCTGTGTCTTCATTTAACAGTCATCTCTTTTAGCAGCAGGAGTCAAAGGGAAACAGATCAAAGATGTCACTTTCCGTGTTCCAGTGGAGACGGGCAGCCATTCTGGGTGGGAACAAGATATTTTCTAACATTGGTTCAGAAGGCACTTCTCCAGGTGTGGCTCTGTGAGGGCGCAGGAGAGAAGGCCCACAAGGAATTATTTTTCACCCCAATCAAATAATTACTGTGTATTGGTATGCAGCAGTATTGGATTACTTTAAAGAGCCCACACCATTTAGCCCCTTACGAATGGTTGGGGAGGGGGGCCGGGTTTTGGGCGGGGAGGGAGGTTAAGGCTCAGGGTTCTTGGCTGAGGACCCTTCAAAGGAAGGCCAGCCAGCAAGAGGCGTTTCCTCTGCTGTCCCAGGTGAAGTGGGGCTCTTGGGATGGCACCATCCCTGAGGGTTGCTGACGGGCTGGCAGGCTGCCTCTCAGAAGGTAGGGACCCACGCTTCGCTGGGTGGTCATCCTGGTTGACCTGAAGCCTGTATGGTTCCGAGATGGAGAAGTTTCAGCTCCAGAAAACTGCTCTTTAAATAGGAAATGATCTTAAAACATTGTTTCCTCAGATCTCTGCAGTGGCACTTTAGGAAACGGAATATTACATTCCTCTCCTTAGAGATTCACAATGCAAATTAAAGCACTGAAGTATTAAAGAACTGAAGTATTAAAGTGCTGCAGTATTAAAGTATTGAAGGCTCTGCCAAGTTCTGCAACAGCAATTTCTTTAACTCAGTATTTCACAAACTTACTTGACAGTGGAATACATTTATACACTGGTTCTCAAGTCTGGCTGCGCCCAGAGGTTCTGCTTTAACTGGGGTGGAGTTCATGCATTGATGTTAACTTTCTACATAATTTCAGACTTACAGAAATGTATTTTTACCACAGTTGCTTTATCACTCTATAGATATATGTATTTACAGTCTTTTTTTTTCTGAATCATTTATGTTGCAGACATGATGCATGATGCCTCTTGACCTCTAAATACATCAGTCGGCATTTCCTAAAAACCAGGACATTCTTAAACAACCACGGTACATTTCTCAAAATCAGGAAATTACAGATATAAAACTATTAACTGATCTACACATCTTATTCAGGTCTCATCACTGTCCACTGAGGACCTTTACAGCAAAAGAACAGAACATTTTTATAGTGCAGATCAGCACTGTGTTTAGTTTTCATGTCTCTCTGGTCTCTTCCAATCTGGAACAGTTCCCAGGCTGTCTTTGCTTTTCCTGACCTTGACATTTTGAAGATTACAGGCCAGTGTAGAACGGCCCTCAGTTGGGTTTGTCTGATGTTTCCTCACGATTAGATTCAGGTTTTACGCTTTTGGAAGTAATAGCATGGAAGTGATGTCGTCCTCCGTCATCATATTACGAGGCCAAAAGACTCCCACTGGTTAAGGTGGGCTCTTCCAGGTTTCTCCTGTGCCAGGTTATCGCTGTTGTCCGTTGTGTGATTAATAAGTATCTTATGAGAGATGCTTGGAGACTGTGTACATATCCCATTTCACATCAGACCCACTAGTTTCGGCATCTGTTGATGATTCTTACTTAAAGCAACTGGGATTCTTTTTAAAAAGCTCCCCAGGGCGTTCTGATGTCCAGCTAGGGTTGAGAACCACTCCATTAATATCTCACAGAATACAGCTTAGGACATACTACGTAAAAGGATGTCCTCCAAACAGGCCCAGCAGCAATGATCAGACTTTGCAAGTCCCCTTTGGCCTGCTGGCTTTTACCTCCTCCTCTGCTTTGCCCCGTGTACCAGTGCTCACGCACAAGCCCGAGGTGGCTCTGGCTGAGTCATCCTGGCGTCCGACACCAGCCACGCTGAGCTTCAGTGCTCCAAGCCTGTCAGCATGGTGTTCATCCCTCCCTGCTTTGGTTTGCGCAGTTCCCTCTGCCAAGGCTGCCCCTTGCCCGATCTTCTGGCCTTTCTTTGCCTGATGGATCCACAAGAGTCACACCCTCTGGGACACCTCCTGTGACACTGTTGTGCTGTGTTCTCACGGGTCTGAACCAAGGCCTTCAGAAACACGTGGGCATTTACTAAAGGTTTGCGAGAGCAATGTGCTGGAGAATAGATGACCTGAACTGGCTTCTCTGCTGCTTACTGCTGTTGAGATATTCTTTGGGGGAGGTTCCCAAAGGTCTAGGATAAAGAAGCCTTCTTCCCGCAAGGATCTGTGTGCACTTCTGCCAGGTTGCTTGGGTCCCAGCCACCCTGGAACCCCCGTAATCGAACTCCAGAGGTTTCCTGGGGCTGCAGTCTTTCAGGGATGAGTTCCCTCCACCCTCAGCCCTGCTCTGAGCCGAGACAACTCCCCACAGTCCTCTGGAGTGTCTCTTTTACAGGTGCCACTAGGGCAGACCCCAAGTTTTAACTTCTGTCCTCCGAATCGCAAAAGGTTGTTAGAGTCCGCTGGCACCCAGCAACACTTCTTCAGGATTTGTCGGATGCACTGCGGCCAAGGCAGCTCTCTGCTTTGCTTACCTCTCCAGGACCCTCTTAGGTTTTTTGGCCTGCCACTTCCTCTTGCCTTTTATGCTTTTAAGATTAAAAAACACGTGCTTAGGGTTTATAGTTTCCAACATCAGGGTTGGTCTGAGCTAGCCAGCCTGCCGTAACGAGAAAAGGAAGTCTGCGCTTTGTGCTTCATCCAGACCTCTTCTTTCCCTTCTCCCTGCCCTCAGCATCCTCCGGAAAGCCCTAGATAAGATTGCGGAAATCAAGTCTCTGCTGGAAGAGAGGCGGATTGGTGAGTTAGAGACGACCAGGCCGGCATTCCTGGACCAGGCGGAGTGAGGGTTCCTGAGAGCAGCAGTCAGGTCTCCCTGTAGGGGAGCCTGTGACCTCAGTCTGGTGGGACTGTTCCGGGGGCTTCTGACAGAGAAGCGCCTGGGCAGCCTGGGGTGGGGAAGGGAAAGGGGATCATCCCCAGAGCTCCCTGCAGACCACGCTGATTCCCCTGCTCCCTCTACTGCCTGGGTCAGTCACCTCCCTCCTTCCTACTGCCACCCACTCCCATTTCTTGCTGTGGGGAGAACCAGAGCTGCACCCTGGGTGTCTTGAAGCCAGCCTTCCACGTGGAGTTTACCTACACGAGGCACTGGCTTCCAGAGCCCTCAGGCTGCTGTGGCTTTCCCACCTCTCTTGCCCCAGTGAACCCCCCGTGTGCAACTCCTCACCCATCAACAATGCTGTCACACTGCCAGCTGGGTTTGTATGAAGTGGCTGGGTGTGTTGAACCATGCCTGAGGAGGTCAGGGGTCTGTCCACATTTGAGAGTTTGTTTTTTAAACTTTTTGTTGAATTACAACATATATTCATAGAAAAGTACACGTAAGTGGACATACAGCTCACCGAAACTTTCACTAACTGAACATAATGGACCCAGATCAACCAGCACCCAGATCAAGAAATAGAACGTGACCAGCACCCCAGAATCCCAGCTTTTGCCCTTTCTAGTTCCCTCTCCCTAGGGTATCCGCCCTCCTGGTGCCTCACCATCTGGGCGGTCTAACTGTGGGCATCTGGTGGAAGGGGCAGGATGGCACCTGGGCCCTTGGTGCTAACTTGGGCGGTGGGGCTGCAGGCTGAGCTCTGACGGCCCGATGCAGGCAGGCTAGGGTGGGCCTGGGGGCGGGAACCCTGTCCCTGGTGTCTCAAAGGCTCGCTTCTTTCCCACAGCGGCCAAGATCGCGGGCCTGTACAATGACTCGGAGCCCCCTCGGAAGACCATGCGCAGGGGGGTGCTGATGACCCTGCTGCAGCAGTCAGCCATGACGCTGCCCCTGTGGATCGGGAAGCCTGGTGACAAGTGAGGGCGGGCCCGGGGCTGGGGGCGCTGGCAAGGAAGGGACTGGAAGTGACATTTTATTCCACCCTCAGGCCCCCGCCCCTCTGTGGGGCCATTCCAGCTTCCGGGGACTACGTGGCCAAACCTGGAGACAAGGTGGCTGCCCGGGTGAAGGCTGTGGATGGGGATGAGCAGTGGATCCTGGCCGAGGTGGTCAGTTACAGCCATGCCACCAACAAGTGAGTGGACGCCCAGCCCTGTGGGCCCTTTTCCCGTCACCACACCCACTTGGGCTGCGACTCTCACCCGTCTGCAAGATGGGAGAAAAGCAGCTTCCCCTGGGTGCCGGTGGGGATGGTGTGTGAAGTGGGCTCCTGGGCTACTTCCCTTCCCTGCCCTCCTCCCCCACTTCCTCGGGGCTCCCTGACTTGGACTATGCACCTCCCTGCATCCACCGCTTTCCTTTTGTTTACCCACAGGTATGAGGTAGATGACATTGACGAAGAAGGCAAAGAGTGAGTGAGCTCATGGGGGGGCTGTGGAAGCCTGGGGTCAGCTAAGCTGCTGGGATGGGGCCCCCACCTGGCCATGAGTTGACCTTAGCTCCCCCTCGCCCCCACCAGGAGACACACCCTGAGCCGCCGGCGGATCATCCCACTGCCGCAGTGGAAGGCCAACCCGGAGACAGACCCCGAAGCCTTATTCCAGAAGGAGCAGCTCGTGCTGGCCCTGTATCCCCAGACCACCTGCTTCTACCGTGCCCTGATCCACACGCCCCCGCAACGGGTAAGCCAGCCTTCACGGGAGAGACACTGGCCCCGCTACAAGGACCAGCTGGGTCATGGAACATCTTCCCACTTTCCGTCCCCTTTTCCTCATCTTACAGCCTCTCTGAGCTAGGAGGGTCCTGCAAGTTGGCCTTTGTCTTCTGCTTAGTCTGCCCTACAGCCCTGCCCTCTAGGTCAGCACCAGCCAGCCCTCCTCTCTCCAAGCTTCAGAGCCTTAGCAAGCCCTGAGCGGAATGGACCCGAAGCATACTCTAGTCTAACCTCGCTTTTGCACTGAGATGGGAAGTTCAATGCCCAGGGCCTGTTTTGGACCCTTGACTCCTGCACCACTGCCCTTTCCTTGGCTGAGCTGCTTTCTCTCGAGCTCCTGACATTGCTGACACCCTGGTCACCCATCACCTGATGGGAGTTTAAAGGCTGTTCTCCCCTCTTCCTCCAGGATACCTGCCTGCTGCCCTCTAGGCTGTCTTTTTTTTTTTTTTCTTTTTTTTTTGCTGCGTTGAGTCTTCGTTGCTGCGTGCAGGCTTTCTCTAGTTGCAGCGAGCGGGGGCTACTCTTCGTTGCCGTGCGTGGGCCTCTCATTGCGGTGGCTTCTCTTGTTGCAGAGCATGGGCTCTAGGCACACGGGCTTCAGTAGTTGTGGCGCACGGGCTTGCTTGCTCCGAGGCATGTGGGATCTTCCGGAACCAGGGATCGAACCCGTGCCCCCTGCACCGGCAGGCGGATTCCTAATCGCTCTGCCGCCAGGGAAGTCCCCCTCTAGGCTGTCCTTGATCCCTTTAACACGGGCTCCCTGGTACCAGACCCTCCAGTTATGGCCCATCCACGTAGGTGGCAAGTCTCCCTTCTCCCTGCTCTTCATCCCTTACCCTTGGCCCTTTGTTGTTGAGGAAAGAGCTCTGTAGTTAGAGGGACTAGGTTCAAACATCTAGACTTCCTGAGTGACTACGAGGACAGGAGAGGCTGGGGGCCCACGAGCCAGAGGTTCCTGTCTGTCTAGGTTTGGGGGGGCCTCGCCTGTAGGTCTCTGGCCAGTCACTCCCGTCTGCCCCCTACTGCAGCCCCAGGATGACTATTCGGTCCTGTTTGAGGACACCTCCTATGCAGATGGTTACTCCCCTCCCCTCAATGTGGCCCAGCGGTACGTGGTGGCTTGTAAGGAGCCCAAGAAAAAGTGAAGCGGCCTAGCGGACTCGCAATCTCCTGACACCCTCGAAGGGGATGCAACACAAGATTCTGTGATCAATAAATATTCCTCCTCCCTTGTCCATGTCTCCTGGGTTTTACTTTTCCAGACCCTTCCTTCCCGCCCAACTAGGGCGAGCTGGAGGCCACCAGGGAAGATGGCCTCACTTGGTCCCAGTGGGCATGTACCCTTTTGGCTCAGGTTCGTCCTTTGCTTCCAGCAGAGGCTGTTTAACACACATCAGATTTTATTGTTGAGGCCTGTTTCACGCTCACCCTGATGAGCACCACTCAGCTCCCAGCGGAAGTGGAGGTGGCAGCCTGCCATCTTCGCAGCATAGTCGGCTTCAAAGCGCTCATTCTGGGCCACAGTGAAGGTGGATTTCCAGTCCCCAGTGATGCCTGGGAGAGACGAAAGGAGAGAGGTCCCCGTCGCAGAGGAGGCCCTGACTGGCTGAACGGCGGCTCTAGCTGCTGCTCCCCCACTCTCCCCCCAGATGCCCGTGCCCACTCCCTGGGGCAGCTCTCACCTTTCCTCATGAAGGCAGAGATGCTGTGGTCCATGACTTTGGTGGGTATGGTGCTGTAGTTGGTCATGGGGTTCTTCTTCATCTCCTTGAAAGACGTGTGCTGGACGATGTGATCCACGGTCTCCTCTGGCAGAGAGCGCCCCACGAACTCCAGGATCTTCTGAATCTCCCTTTTGGGGTTCTGGAGCAGCAGAGGGGCTCCTCAGTGGAGGTTTGCATTGCTTGCTGAGCAAACAGAAGGGAGGTCCCTTTCTAACCCTGTGGGGATCTGGCCACTTCTGCTTAGAGACCTCAGACCCTGTTCCTTGACTCTGGTCCTCTTTCCCTAGGGCAGGTTTGATTGCCTTCTGCCCTGTGGTCCTTTATTACAGATGTCTGGTTCCTGCTGGATGAGAGAAGGGACAGTCCTCTTTCATAACCGTGACCCCAGGAGAAGCAACAGCAGTAACTAGCTGATGGATGAGTGCACGTGTTGCTGACTCGAGTGCTAGGAGATAAGAGCTATACAGGGCACTGCTGCAAGGGGGCACTGCTGCTCAGTCCTGCGGAGGGGATCCAGGAGGACTGGGCTGTGGGCTGTCATAGGGGAGGGGGGCTGAGAGGGCCTTGGCAGGTCACTGTGAGGTTCCTGCCTCTCTGCGTGTGACATGGAGGGACGCAGAAGCAGGCGGCCTCACCTGCTTTATGTCCTCATAGAAGAGGTAGAGAACAGGGTGGGTGTGACTCAGCTCCCACCACTCCTGCACGTGCTGGTACCAGGACCCGTAGGACACTGGAGAAAAGGGCAGGGGGCATGGACACAGAGGTTGGCATAAGTTGTAGCTGGTGCCCCTCAGCTCCACCCCACCCCTTTCCTTCCTCCAGAGTCAGCCCCACCTTCCCCAGCCATGAACTTCTCCAGGAAGCTGTCCCAGGTGCCAGGGTCAGGGTGCACCTTGGCCATGTGGTAGAAGTGGTAATAGGAGACGGCCACATCCTTTGCATTGCGGGCAACGTAGACCACCTGGAGGGGCAGATGACCCCCCCGACACCCCAGCACCATCACCACACAGCACACTGGGCACTAGGTGTCCCACCCTTCACAGCATCCTTGCCAGGGAGGTTCTCTCGGTTTGGCTGAGGGAGAAACGGGTCTAGAGGCTGACTCACTTACAGTCCCATGGTGTGGGCGAGACTGAGCTGGGGCTTGAACCCTGCTCTGATGCCGAACTCTGGGCTGCTCCGTGAAACCATATTTTATACTAATCTAATCCCCTCAATGCCACTCTGCCTGAATTTGGAACAAGGCATGCTGGATTCCCACCAGCCCCTCTTCCACGGGCCTGTGAGCCCGACTCTGCACAGAGGAGTCTCCTTTTCACCAGATTATCTGACCCCACTAGAGCCATCAGGCAGATGCCCCCCGCCTCCCTTAAGATGAGACCAGGCTGGAGGAGGTGAGGAGACCTCCCCAGAAGGTAGGGCCAAAGCTGGGATGGCCCCAGCAGCCTCCTTCCCTGGCTTCCTCTGCCATTCACCTTGACCTTCTGATCCAGCAGCGTCGGTGGAAGCAGAGCCAGGGGCAAGTGTGTCTTGATCAGCCGTGGGGCTGGTGTATCTTCCAGAAGCTCAGCACCTAAGCCATAGGTAGGGAAAAGCCGGCTGAGCTGGAGCCCGAGTCCTACCTCCCAGCACCCCGCCACATACCTGTGGGAAGGCCAGGGACCCTGAGCTCAAGGAAGGGCACCCGGACGAAGATGGGGGCTCTTTGACACTTCTCCAGGTCGCCACCCTGGTAGATCAGGTCCAGGATCTCGCTTACCCAGGTGGTGCCTGGAGAGTGAGGGAAATGGGAGATGAGCAGGGCTGAGCACGCCCCTCCCGGCCCAAGGTGGGGACTGCAGCCCAGGAGAGGCATTGGTGCCCTCATCGCCTACCGGATTTGGGGTAGGTGCTGATGAGCAGGTCATCGGGCCAGGCTTGGAAGCTCTGCAGCGGCCCCAGGCCCTCTGCAAAGTACTTGATGAGAGGGACCCCCTTCATGTACTCCAGTGGCGGGCGGGAGGTGTCCTGGACCAGCTCCATGCTGCCACGTCAGGGTCCAGAGTGTAGCTTCCTTCCCTTAACAATATCACAGTGGTGCCAGCTGTTGAATTCTTGCTTTAAGGTAAGGAAACTGAGGCTGAGGGAGCCACTTGCCCACGCTCACAGAGCTAGTGAGTGGTGGGGCTGGGATTCAAAGCCAGATCCAGTGCTCACGCAGTGGGTCACACCCAGGCTCATTTTTATTTGCCTGCAGAGCTTTTAAAATCCCAAACCAATTAAAACACTCTCTGGGGATGGGACCCAGACAGCAGTTTTTTGGAAGCTCTCCAGGGGATTCCATTGTGCACCTGAGAAAACCCACTCTAGGTCCTGCCTGTTTGAACTTCCTGCCAGCCCCCAGCTTGCTTTCTCTTCCTGCTTTGCCTCCGGGCCTAATCCTGGTGGGCTCCTCCCTGACGTCCCCTCCTTCAGCTCCCCTCCTGGCCCCTCACATATGTTGGAAAACTCCAAAAAGGCCAGTTGGGCCTGAGACCCCGCTTGCCCAGCTACCCTCCCCAGCTTGGAGAAAAACACAGCCAACTGAGCAACTGTTTGGGGAGCCGGAATCTGGTATGTGAATGGGCAAAACTCATGACTCACTGGAGGAGGGGGAGGGGAGGGAACAGTGAAGTGGGAGGGAAAGGAGGAGGAGGGGGATTATTCAGGCCAGGCTGTAGATTGAGATGGGCAATCCATGGAAAGGGCAGGGTGTGAGAAGCTGGACCAGAAAGCTCAAGCGACAGGATAAGAGCCAGCAGCGCAAGCTGAGGGAGATCCAGCCCAGCCGGCCCACCACCTCGCTCTCACCTGACTTCTCTGGATCTTGGCCTCCTGACGTCTGCGTGCTGCGGCTTAGAACGTAGAACGGGTGTGGTATGGTGAGGGCAGAACTGCTCTCTGAGCTGAAGGTCTTGTAGGTCCAAAGTGGGAGGGATCTGGAGCCAGCACTGGGACTTGGCTGTTGTCCAGAAAGGAAAGGGTGAAGTTTGGGGTGGGATGGCCCCTCTGTGCTACCCTGCTCAGTGCCCAGCTGGAATCAAGCTTAGACCCGCCTGAAAACCTAAGATGTGGGTTTAGTGTGTAGAAAACAGAAGACTGAAACTAGACACAAGGGTGCAATAGTTTTCTTTTTTGTTTTTTGGTGTTTCGAGCTGTAATCCTGGCTCCTGACCTGCCCTCTGAACTCCACCCCTGAAAAGCGGGCCAAAAGACAGCTTTACCTAATGGACCCAGTCTAGAAAGGGCAGAGGAGTGGAGGGGAAATGTGGGACACTCACCCTCCTGCTGGTTCCCGGCCAGTCTTGAAGAGGCCAAGGGTTCAGGTGGAAGGCAGCTCAGAGGCCCCCAGCAGCCCAAACATTGTTCCAGGAACTTCTGGCTCTGACCACGAGGCCAGTCCAGAGGGATGTGCGTGGGCCGGGTCATGGGGTTTGCGGCAGAGCCGAGCAGGGCAGGCTCTTTTCGAGGCAGCAAAGGATAGGAAAGAGCCAGAATGCTTAAGTCGAATAACCCTGGGAGTGAGCCCCAGCTCCATGGCTCCCGTGGGAAGGCGGCTCCCGTGGGACAGCACGGAGCCTCACTCATGGTTGGTAACACAACAGCCCCCAGAAGGTGCTTTTTTTTCTGTGGGTTTGAACAAGGCTCTGCAGACAGAGATGAGAAGGAGTTGGGGCTTAGAGAGCCACAGGACCCCGTGGGGCAACAGCATCCCCCCTCTCCTCCTCGGCCTTTGTCCTTACTGTTTGGATTAAAGTCTGGAGTCAAGCTGGGCACCGGAGGTGGGTGGGCTCTGTGTGCAGGGTGTGAGTCTCCCAAGCCCTCAAAGGACCATGTGACTTCAGAGGCTGGTCCGTGCTGGGGCCAGTGGCCGTTCGCCACTCTGTCCTCCTCAGGCCCCAGTGACTGGCAGGGCCTCTGCCTCCTACCCCACTCTCCCACCCCCCAGCAAACACCAGAAGGTACCTTAACTCAGACTTTTTATTGTACTCAAGTAAAAACTGCCCAGACCCACAGGGGGTGGCACAGAAAAGGAGTGGGCAGAGGGTAGAGACGCTGAGGATCAGATCTCCAGCATGTCGGTCCAGTGTTCCTGTGGAGACAAGAGGGTTGGTGAAAGGCAGCCCAGGAGATGGGGTGGGGTAGTGAGGCTGGGGCCCAAGCCACCTTTCACCTCTTCTAATTCCGAGTCCTCCTCTTCCTCCTCGGTGCCCATCCGGCACAGCCAGATCAGGTCTCCCCACAGCAGTGAGTTCTTACAGCTACCAGGGGTGTGGTTGGTAGGAGACAGAGTCAGGATCACAAGCCTCCTCCAGGCCAGGACCTGGGTGCTAAGATGAGGACTACCCCAGGCCTGGACTTGGACAACTGGGCACCATCTTCCCAGAGCTAAACCAGGCTGGGGTAGGGGTGCTGGACTCACCCAGGGCATTGGCCCTCTAGGGGCAGAAGCTGCCCTGGCTCCTCCTGCAGGAACTCCTCTGCCAGACAGATCACATGGGCCCTCAGGGAGCAGCCAGGGTGGGGGCAACACAGGGGGTCTTCTTCATCCTGTCAGAGGTGGCAGGCAGGTAAGAGAGAAAATGGGGAGTAATGATGTAGCTAGCAATGGTGAAGAATTTCTATGGACTAGACACTGTTCCAAGACTTTACATAAAACCACCTTATGAGACATGCACTCTTGATACTATTATTTGTATTTTATAGATGAGGAAACTGAGGCACGGAGACGTTAAAATACTGGCCCACAGGGACTAAGCTGGCCAGTTTTCTCTGAGTGTTAGCAGCGATTACATAACACCACGGCAGGGCAGCCAGACCTAGAGTTCCTTAAAGGCTGAGCAATCTCAGGCAGGTCACTTAAGCTCTGAATGGCAAGAGCTCAACTTACATTTACTGAGGGCTCAGTAGAAGCCAGACTCATCATCTCAATTAATTTATTAAATATTTATTGGCAATCTGCTCTGCACTAGACCCTGTTCTACAGTAGTGAAAAGGAACTAAATGCCCCAGCAGAGTTTAGAATGGGCGGGGGGGGGGGCAGAAACTGATAACAAGATAAATAAAATATACAGTATGTCAGACAATAATAAGTGTTAAAGGAAGCCAGGGAAGTGTACAAGAAAGAGTGGCAATTTCAGATGGAAAACCAAGGAAAACCTCACGGAGGAAAAGTGGCATTTTATCAAGACGTAAGGTCTAGGGAAGAACCTTTCAGTCAAAGGGAAAGGGCAAAGGCCCTGAAAGGAGAATACTGGCGTCGAGGAATGGCCGCAAGCACTATGATCCCCGTTTTCGAGATGGGGGCAGACTGGCCAAAGGGTGTCAGTGGGCTGCCCAGTCCCTCAAGAAACAGCTTGATCTTGAGTCCTCTGAATTCTAGACCGCCCTGACCCGGAGACCAGGTGGAGAGTCTTACCTGGAGCACACGCGCGCACAGGGTGCAGTGGGTCTCGGCGTCATGCTCCAGCTCGGACTCGGTGTCAACCGCGCGGCGCCTCGGGGCTAAGGCCCGGGGCGGCGGAGGCCCGAAGGCCAGCGGCACGTGAGGCGGCGGCGGCGGGCAGAGATCCTGGCGGAAGTCGGCGCGCAGCCAGCGCAAGGTGAGTGGGAGTCGCGCCCAGGGCGGCGCGCGCAGCATGTGCGCCAGCACGCGCAGGTGAAAGGCGAAGGTTGCCTCACCGCGCAGGCGCGGACCCACGTGCGCCAAGCGGCGCGAGGCCTGCGGATGCTGCCAGGCCCACTCGAACTGCAGGCGGGGAGTACTGAGCTTCAGGGCCGTCCGAGGAAGGCCCTAAGCCCTAGCCCCCGTCCTCCCGGCACCCCCGTCTCTTTTCTTACCCGAAGGGCGGCCACTGCGGAGGGGAAGCCGTGTACGATGAGCACCATCTCCCTGGGGAAGAGAATGAGGGGTGCGGCCTGTGAGCCCCTCGCCCCTCCCCGTGTCAAACCGAATCCCCTCGCCATGGTGCGCCTCCGGTCCTACCCGAGAGGGGAGTCACACCCGGCTTCAAGCCTAGCCCACGAGGCTCTCTCCCCTTCATGGAGGTATGTCCCCTCGCACCTGCTAACCTCAGGCCCCGCCTCCAGTCACAGGTATTTAACAGCCCTCCTCAGTTCCTCTCCCTTCCAGGCTTTCTCTATTCCAACCCAGCCTTGTTCACCAAGCCCCGTGTCGGTGGACCAAACCTAGATCATCAATCCCCTTCCCACCCAACGCCCTCCTCTGAGACCCACAGCCCAGACTCACAGGGCTCCGCCTCCCCACTACCCCTTCTCCCCCGCGATAGTCCCCCCCTCGTCACTAGGACCCCGCCCGCAGCCCTGTTTTTCAGCCCCCACGCCGGCCGCGCCCCTCTCAGCGGGCCTCCCCTCCGCCGGCTCCGGCCTTCTCCTAGAAGCCCTTCTCCTGACAGTGACCCACCGCCTCTTACCAGGGCCCGCGTCCACTGGTCCGCCAGGCCCCGCCTTTTCTGCGGCCCCCGTTGTGCTGCTGCACCCGACGAGCAGGGTTGACCGTGAACCCTACGTAGACGCGGCCCCGGTGCCGAGGGTTCAGGCAGTAGAGCAGGTAGACGCCGAAGAAGCGCCCGGGCCTCGACGCGCCCCCTGTGGGGCCCATCGGAACTTGGGGGTTGATTGCCCTGGCCTGTGACCCCGGGGAGAGCTGGGTTGCCAGGGACGCAAGATGCTTGTCTCGGAAAAAGCGCTTGGGGGCAATCCCGAGGTACCCTAGAGGCCACAGCAATGCAGGCTCGTGCACCCTCTACTAGCTGGAGCTAGGGTGTCCAAAACCGCGGCGCAGAACCCGGGCTGCTGTGCAGGCGGCGGGTACCAATTAGCGTCCGCCGGGGCCTTATGCAGACTCTGATTGGCTGACTGATGGTAGGTGCAGAAACCGGAGACTGTTGGAAAACTGGGCTTGCAAGAGGGCGGAAGTGCTGTGTTTACTGACGCCTTAGTAAGGGCGGAAGTAGAGACCTCAACGGAAAGTGGCGCTAGTAAGGGCGGAAGCAGTGTGGCAGGGGTCCGAGCAGGGGTACTGTCCCCGCTGGGCCGTCAACCCTGTTGGGCTGCCACAATGGAACTCAGCGCCGAGTACCTCCGGGAGAAGCTGCAGCGGGACCTGGAGGCGGAACACGTGGTGAGTTGAGCGGCGTGGACACTCGCCCAGCGAGGGGAACAGGGCTCCTGAGGGGCGGGCTTGGCACCATCCACCTCATTCTGCCCCATAGGAAGTGGAGGACACGACTCCCAACCGTTGCGCATCTAGCTTCCGAGTCCTCGTGGTGTCGGCCAAGTTCGAGGGGAAGCCGCTGCTTCAGAGACACCGGTGAGACCCCAGGAACACCTCATTCAGCGCGGCCCCAGCTCCAGGACCACATCCCCGGCCGCTCCCCGAAACCTAACTCACCCCCACCAATGCGGCCCAGCACCGCAGACCACGACCCCAGCGATCCCGCCTTCATGGCCTCTGCTTCAAATATTGAGACTTCAGCCCTCTACCTCTCTTGTTGCCAGGTTCCAGGGACTACAACCTGGGGGACACCTCCAGTCTCCCGGCTCACCCTAGCTTCGGGGTCTGCGACCCAGGCCCCAGCCTGCCGTTTTCTAATCCCATCTCTCTCTCAGGCTTGTGAACACTTGCCTAGCAGAAGAGCTCCTGCACATCCATGCTTTTGAGCAGAAAACCCTGACTCCAGAGCAGTGGACCCGTGAGCAGCAGAAATAAGGGACCCGGACCTGCACATCTATTAAATTATGAGTCAGGCCCAGCTTCTGTGTCAGTGTGTGTTGTGTGTAGGAGGGTGGGAGGTGTGCAGAGGCCGGGTCTAAGGCCTGGCTTCTCCCTGCCCTCCACTCTCCATTGTTTTACTTTGGGCAAGTCCCTCTCCACACAGAGGCCTTCGTGTCCCCACTTATAAAGTGAAAGTTCAGTTCTTAAAGTCCCTTCCAGGGTGGGCCTCACAGGTCTTCTTTGTAATCCTTGGTGGACCTCCTAGGGGTACGGCCACTACCCACCCGACCCACCCATTCATTGACCATTGCTGGGGGTTCCTGCTCTGTCCTCCTTCAAGATGCATAGATGAGAAGTGCTCACGGTTTTAGGGCCTTGGGCAATTTAACAAACCTCTTCCTCTCCTTAATATCATCCCAATGTCAGAGGCATTATAGAAGATTCCACACTTCCCCTGTTGGTTCCCCAAGCCCTTCACAGCCTCAGGGACCTGGTACCCCAGCAGGGGCTTCCCAACACCTGGAATGGCAGTGTTTTCTGGCCCCTGGAGAAAGTCCAGTGACCCTTTGGCCCTGGGCTTGATGTGGCCACAGCTGGCCCTGGAGAGCTGGTGAGGTTTTTCAGGAATGGAGGGGTGGGATGGGCATAGGGTTACAGCAGGAAAGTAAGGCCGACCAGAGCCACAAAATTGGGGCATGTGATGCCCTAGAGTCGACACAGGTGCCAGAGTTGATCAGGCCTTGCATAGGCGAGGGCCCTGAGACCCAGGAGGAATAGGAAGTGTGCTAATTGGGGCCAGAACTCTTTGGGGGTGAGAAATTGCAAATTTCAACCATCCCACCCACCCTGTTCTCCTGTTTTCAAGGCCGGTTTCTTGGCCCCTAAATTACCACCACCCCCACCCCCATCTCCCTCTCTTATTTCTCTCAGAGGAAGCTGGAAATCATGGTGAGTAGGGGCTAACCCTTCTGAGTTCCAAGGATCCTTCCCTGAACTTTTTTCCGTTTCCCTGGGCCAGGAGAACTAGTGACTACCCACAAGTCTGCTTCACTAGGAGGGCGCATCATCCCTTTGTGTGGGAGACTGAGGCCCAGGCTCCAGACGGTCTCCT